GATATAGTTAAGATAAGCTTAGAAGGTCCCTAAGGCTTTAATAAGACTAAAGAGTATAACTTTAAATTTATATAACCTATAATAAGTTAAGAATATAGTTTTATATTTATTACTAGGTTTAATATAAATATATATAAAAGTAGTAATAATATTAAATTTAGAAAAGTATTTTGCGTAATAGATATAAATAAGTATTTCTAGTAGCTATAAAAGAACGTTATAATTCTTTTATATAATCTTATTAAGTCTATAATAATTAATATAAACTTAAATTCCTTCTTTTAGCTTATATATATATAGTATTAGTATAGCGTAATATAACTTACTAACTTAAACTTAATCTTAACTAAGTATCTAATTAATATATTATTTAATAATAAGAGATTCCTAATAACCTAGACTATTATAGTAACATTTAGAGATTATAGTATCTAGAATAATATTAATAAAGTAATTCTATTTACTATAGTATAGTATAAGTTTATTACCTAATTTTAGGTTAAAGACGTCTATATAATAATAATATTCCTTTAGTAGGCATTTAAGAATCTCTTCTTATAAGAGAGGAGGCTTATTATATTTCTCTTACTATTTTTTAAAATCCTTAAGTAAGATTTTGCCTAAATTAATAATAACGTCTTCTTTTAGTATAGAATCTAAGTCTAGAGGTTTCTTTTCCTTTTTATCTTTAAAGTTATTAAGCTAGATTTTACTAAATTACTAGCCTCATTCTAGTAACTTAATAAAGGTAGTAGTACTAACTATAGTAACGTTTTTAAAGTAAGAGTTTATTAGATTAACTAAGTAGCCCTTATAATCCACTAAGATTAGGCAGCCTACTAGTAAGTAGTACATAAGGTAGTAGTCTAAGTTAAAGTAGATTTACTTCTTACCTCCTTTAAGGGTAACCTTATAGAAGTTAATCTAAGAATTACTAAAAATAAGGTTATAGCTAGCGATATTTATAACGAAGTAGTAGATTTATTTAATATACCCTTCTAAACGAACGTTAACTATAGTAGCTTTATTAACTTTTATAATAGCCTTATTATTAGCTAATTATATAATTTAGGAAGTAAAGAAATTAATAATAGAGATTCTATATTATTTAATAAAATTAGAATAAATAATTCCTATTACTCTACTACTAGTATCTATAAAGATATTAATTTTTAAGTAGTAGCCTTATTTTAGAAAGAATATAGTACTAAAGATAGTCTATTAGTTACTTACTATAGATATAGTAACTACTTCTTAGAAATAAAAATTATATACTATAAAGGTAAGAAATATCTTAATAATAACTAGTTTAGTATTATTAAATATAATAAGCTCTAAGAATAATACTTATTAAAGATTACCTTCTAGGCGCTAGATAGTTTTATTAACCTTATATTAGATTTATTCTTTAAAGAGAACTAGCTTAGGGTTAAGTTCTTCTTTCTTTCGTTACTAATTATATATTTCTTACTTATTTAGCTCCTTTGTGCGTCTTTATAAAAAAGCTTTTAGTTTTCTATATTATTACTATAATTATACTTATTATAATTATCCTCTATAGTTAAGGACTAAGGAGATTAAGTAGTAATTTAATTATAGATAGTAGCAAACTCTATAATAATAGTAGTAACCTTTAGTTAAATTTTAGCGTCTAAAAAGGCATCTCTATCTTTATATAGTACTAAGTTATACTAATAGCTATAGCTTTTCTCTTTATACTTTATATAATAGTTATTAGTCTTTAAGATATTATAGATATCTAAAGGGTAGTTAAACTTTAGTTTCTATCTACTATCCTTAGCTACTAGATAATTATTATTATTATAGCTTTATAGATTAGTAAAGAGAACGTATTTAATATAATAAGTAATAATATATAAGCTCTTAAGGAAGTTAGTAAATATTTTTAATTCTACAAAGAGTATTCTCTTTATAAACTTTAAGAGTAGAAGAAGACATATTTTAATAATCTTATCTTAATTACTAAGCTTAACTTTTTATAAGTTCTTTAAGAAGTAAGCTAGAAATTATTTAAGCTTCTTAGTAGGCTTTATTATAGCTTCTTAACTTTTAAGCTAAGTTTTAGTAGTAATATAGCTATCTTTAATACTATACTTATAGTCTAGATTAAACTATATCTTTACTATAAATAAATATAAGTTAATTAACTTATAGTTACTCTATTTATTAATAGTATTAAATACCTAATTCTTTATTACTCCTTAGATAACTTAAATCTTAAAGGCTTCTATAAGATAAACTTATATATTATTATTAAAGTAATTTAATACTTTACTTTTCTAAGTATAATACTTCTACTTATCCTTTCTTAAGAAGAGTAAAGGCTTATTACCCTATACTTTAAAAAGAGAAGCGTTACTAACTAAGTTAAAGTTAAAGAAAAGAATAATTTAATATAAGTCTAGTATCTTTAGAAGTATATTTAAGTTAGATTAGTCTATATCTTAAGCTAAGAAGGTCTAGCGAAATAGATTATTATCTACTAACTTATTATAATTAAAATAAAGATTAGTTACCTTAGTAGCTAAGAGTTTCTTTTAGAAAGCGTTAACCTAGGCTTAAAGAATAGTAGCTTTATTTACCTTCTCTTATAGAGCCTTATAATATTTACTAATCTTATTAACATAAATAGCAAGTACTTCCTTAAGTAAATTATTATTATATTATAGTTCTTATACTTTTTAGTAAGTAGTTACTACTTCTTTAAGAATAATAGTATTATCTTAAATCTATGCTTTAAAATAAGTAATCTACTTTATACGTTTATTATTAGTTTTAGCTAAGTTCTATATCTCTCTCTAAGCTTCTAAAGCTTCTTCCTAAAAAATATAGATTAAGTCTATATTATAAGTATTTATATTCTACTTAATTTTAAAGAAATAAGCTATAGTTTAAGAAACTAATAATAAAGCGTAGAGCTATATAACTAAGTTATTTAGCGTAATCTCTCCTTTTAATAGATATTCTAAGTCTATACCTAATTTAATTAAGTAGTAAGAGTAGTAATAAAAGTTTAATTACTTTTCTTTATAATAAAGGTATACTCTTACGTTTTTTAGCTTATTATTTTCTTTACTAAGTATCTTTTATACTTAAGTAGCTTAGAAGATTAAAGGGTTCTTATTAATAGTTAGAGTAACTAGTTAATTAAGGTCTACTACTATAGAGTAGTAAAATATTAATATAAGTAGTACTCTAAAGCCTTTAGCTTACTAGCATAGTTTTATTAGCTATTTATATATTCTAAGAGAAAGTTTAGTATTATTATTAGGTTAGAAAGGAGCTAGTAACTAGTTATCTTCTATATTTATTTAGTTTAGTAAAGTTATTTAACTAGTATTTTAAGGGGCATCTTCTAACGCTTTAGTCTCTTTACCTTTATAGCCTTATTCTAATAGATAATTATCTTCTAACTTATCTTTATCTTTTAATAATACTCTTAAGCCTAGTTCTAGCAATTTTAATAGTCCTAAGACGCTCTCTATTAAATCTACTACTTTCTAAGTAATATCTAGTTATACTATATCCTAAATATTAGGTCTACTTTAATACTTAACACGTATAGTAAAAGGGTAACGTAACAAAGATAAGTAATACAAGTATATAAGAAATAAAGATAAGTACTAATTATTAAGCTAAGTATAAGTAATTAGAGACAATAAGTAGGCTATATAGTTATTAACTTAGGTCTATTAGTTAGAAGCCTTATTAGCTATAGTTATAAATAATAAAGAAGAGTACTAAGAAGGAATACTTATTTATTTAGCACGTTTTAATAATAAGTATATTAAGTATAATTATAAATATTTAGTAGTAGTATAGAAAATAAACTTTAGTATTCTATAGAACTAAGGATAAGAAGCAATTAACGCTTAGACTATTAATAGATTAAAGAGTATTAAGGAATCCTAACACTCTAATTAGATAAGAAGTTAGTAGAGCTAACAAATTTAGTAAATCTACGAAGGATTTTTAATAGGATCTAAAACTATATATATAGGATATTAATCCATATAGGCGCTTCTTTAGAAGTAAATTCTAGAGTACGTAATATAAGCGCGTAGGTAGTTAAATAATTCGTAGATTATATAATAAGCTATAAAACTTAGAGTAAGTAGATAATTAGATTATATTCTAGAATCTATAAACAAGAAAGAGAGAAGAAGATCTAGAAGAGCTATAGATCTATAAGGAATATAAGTCCACTTAGTAGATCCTTAGGCGCGCTAACCCCCTTGGGTCTAGCGTATAATCTTGTAATAAGATCTCTCTTATAATACTACTATAAAGCCTATAAAGAGGAATTATTATAATTAGTAAAACTTATATTAATTAAATAGTAATTTCTAATACTATAGCAATATAATTCCTATAATTTATTCCTAACTACTTATTATTATTACTTTTACTTTATAGCTATAGAAAATAAAAAATATAGAAAAAATACTAAACTTTTAATTTAATAATTATAATACTTATAATACTTTACTAATAATATAATATTCTAAACTTATAATATATAAAACTATTTTAATAATATAATCCTAATTTTTATAATCTTTTTAATAATATTATAATATAAAAAAGGGTTTAAATAATTATAAAGTTACTAGTATATAATAGAATTTATATAGTAGAATTATACTTAGGCTAGTCTATTAATAGTTTACCTATAATTACCCTTTATTAGTATAGAGGAGTATTAAAGGTATAATATAAAGGAATAGTAGCTATATAATAGATTATATAATTAGATAGGGTTAAGACCTACCGCCTAACGGTAGGACTCTATTGCTTCTAATCTAACTTTATTATCCTAAATATTTCCTCTATTAATATTTCTTAAAGTAATACTAGGCTTTATATAAAGCTTTATGTCATCGAAACTTAGGTACCCAAAACAAACTTTACATCCACAAAAATATACCCAGTAGATGGCTCGATGAAGCCGGATCAAAAAAACAACTCGACTTCAATTTTGCCGCCAGCGAGATTCGAACTCACGTTTTCGCTTTATACATTCAGAGCTATGGGAAAGCGATACCTTAACCACTAGGTCACGGCTGAATACGGTTAGCTGTCTTCTAATTTAGGTAATGCCGGGGAGAGTCTTACTGGCTGTGGTTTGGTTACCATATCGCTGGCTTTTTCAACAATTTTGTTCTTTTAGGGAAGTGCTTGGAAGACAGTAGAATGGCAGGGAAGAACTGTTGTCTCCCGGAGAAGTGACGGTGAGAGGGCAACGGGAGATTGCATACATGCGAAGAGGCGGGAGTTGTGGAGCATGGGAACGGGTTGAGCAGGTGAGCCTGTGGCGTTTACAGAATGACCTTGTGGATCGCATGGGAGATTGGTGGGAATGATCGCAATGGTGCATGATGGATTTCAAGAGACAATGGGTTATGAAGAAAACGGTAAGAGGGAAGGATATTCCTTCAGCCTTATCGGCCTACCAAGCGACAATAAACTGGCCCGTTCCATTAACGACGCCGGCGCCTACCAGCAGTAATCACAAGACATGTATGTCATATTTCCCATTACATTCGATATAATATCTATAACTTTACAGATTCTAATGGGAAATAAAGCCCATCGTAGTAAAGCGTAACATATGGTAGTCATAGTATGCCGTCAGCCTAATGGCCATATAGTTTCAGCCAATCAACGCTAGATCCCAACCACCGCCAATTGCTTCAATGTTAAAGTCTCGACATCATCCAAAGCCTCTATCAATTCCGTCCAAATCATCCTCTCATCTATCCCTAATGTTCCCATGCTCCAGTCTCCGGACTAGTCTCACGCGGCTGCCAAGTCAGAGCAATCTTCTCACAACCTGCCAAAATGGCTACACAGCCACCGCCAGCAAGGCCCTTCGCCGGCGCAGACACGCATACCGGTATCCATCACCCTTTTCCCAATCAATAACGCGTTCTATCACGACAACCGCCTCCAAACCCAAACCCGTCTACACCAAACTACCAACTCGTGCTGCCACTACCTCTTCCACTACCACAACGTCCTCTACAACCACACCCAAACCTGCCGCAACCAGCCCAACAACCCAATCCAAACCAGCACCCTCCAAACCACCGCAATCCGCCATCCCACGCACACCTATCACTCCACCCCAAGACCTCCAACTCGGTCTCTCCGACCCCCTCCCCGCCGCCCCACCCACAACCTCTCCCACAGGCGAAGTAATAGACTGGTCCCGCTCCTTCTCCGGCCTCTCCACAACCGCCTTCCCCCCAGACTCCGCACGCATCCTCCTCGCCCCCATACTCCCCGCCGACGTCGAAGTAAAACCCGACGGCATAATCTACCTGCCCGAGATAAAATACCGCCGCATTCTAAACCGCGCCTTTGGCCCCGGCGCATGGGGTCTAGCACCAAGAGGCGAAACCATCGTGACCGCGAAGAGCGTGACGCGAGAATATGGGTTGGTGGTCCATGGACGGTTGGTTAGTATTGCGCGGGGAGAGCAGCAGTATTTTGATCCAGAGGGGATACCGACGGCGACGGAGGGGTGTAAGAGTAATGCGTTGATGCGGTGTTGCAAGGATTTGGGGATTGCGAGTGAGTTGTGGGATCCGGTGTTTATTAGAAAGTTTATGGCGGAACATGCGAGGGAGGTGTGGGTGGAGCATAATACGACGAAAAAGAAGAGGAAGATTTATATGAGGAGGGATGTTAAGAATGTGCCGTATCCGTTCAAGGAGGTCAAGGCATAGATCACATATATTGGAAACGAATGGGTCATGTTTGGGATGTAAGATTTAATTGTACATCTAAGCTCATAGAGGATTCATAGAGGTTGGCATGGTCTATTTGCCAGATTATTATACATATCCCGTGCCGAAATAGGCAGCTACGCAGTGGGCGTCTTTGTGGAAAAATTTCATCTCTATATCAAAACCAATTGTAATGCAATAACGCCGAAAGAGACCGTGAAAGATTACCATTATCAGTTTCCAAAGCCGCGATCAAGACCGGAAGATTTGGCCTCAGCTGGTACATCATGGGCAGGCTCCTCTTCGAACTTGTCCTTCTTTGCTGCCGCAGCTTGATCCTCCTTGTTCCAGTTCCACGGCATCCAACCACTCGATTGACGCTGGACATTTGGTGGTTTACCACTTCGATCTGGCGAAGCTTCTGAGCGTTCGATCTTATCGAATTCGGTCTCAGAGCGGCTCTTTGACAGTCCAGTTGACTTCTCTTCGGCAAGATCAGTCTCCTCACGGTCATACGCCTGCATCAAGGCAGAGAGTCCGAGACGCGCCTGCCGGATATAGTTCAGACGGTCCGCAGGAGTTGCGAGCTCGGGAGGGACTAAGGCGCCACTGGAGCCCATATGCGCAGCGCGACTGACGGCATTCACATTAAGCCCGCCCGTCGCAGTCTGCAGGGCGCCCAAAACTGAGCTATAAAAGTCATTGCCAGCCGGTCCACTACCAGGCACAGTTGCGCCGGTGGTAGCCGTGCTGTAGAATCTGGATAGCAGTGACTGGGCATATGTTTGGGCAGAGGGGCCAGGTGGGGTTGCGGGCCTCGGCTGTTCATTCAAAACATGGACGCGGAACCAGTTGATAGCTTGTTTGAAGTATTGAAGTCCCATGGTCTTGAGATGTTCGTGGGAGTTTGATATGAAGTCCTCAATTTCGGTTTCATAGTTGATCAGATAGGGCTCGATGTAGGTGGTGTAGACCTTGGTTGCGCCTTGAGGTGCGGGCATGAGGAGATAGAGGTAGCCGAACATGCGGACCCATGAGTAGAGTGGGAGGTAGGTGAGTGGATAGGCGACGGTGTTTTCAAGGAGGTTGATCACGGAGAGGGTGGCGTAGAAGGTAAGCCATGGTGCCAATGTTGCGGGAGTTGGGGTCTTGAGGGCCTTGTATGCGGCGAAGAGGGGAAAGAGGGTGGTGGAGGAGAGACTATGGAAGGCTTCATGTCAGTAGAGGTTCATACAGCAATAGCATATGGGATATCATACGAGATGAAGTCGGCTATGAAGCTCAGCATGACGATCAGATGTCAGAGGACGATAAGAACACTGGCGGCGATGGAGGTCCCGCAGCGGCACGAGACGGATGATATAGGGTGGTTGAGTAGCAGAAACGTGTTCTTGAACAATATAGAAAGGTGTCCGAAGGGATTGAGAGCAGTTGGAACCAGTTAGAAGAAAGAGAATGAAGCTGCCTGGTGTGATGTAGAAGGCACGAAGGGTAGAAAGGTAGGTGGTGATGGTGGTGGGGAGGTAGGTTCCTGTGCATGGATGGCACATTAAATGCAGTAAGGCTGGCATAAAAGTTGAGCCACCAAGCTCCAACATTTGAACGCTGCAGCTAGACTCCCCGCTCTTCCAAATAAGGACCTAAAAAGGCGATAACCGTGGGGCCGAGCCATGTATCTTTCTTTGTCCTCTCTTTATTGGCCCCTTTGGTATTGTTACTATTATTATATGGCGAGATCTATCAAACATGCCTACTGTACTGTACTGTACTCCAAAGTCAACCTCCAGGCAGACAGAACGCGCCGGCACTCTTCTCACTGAGATGTGTCCCGTTGAGGCCTCGCCATTATTGATCGATTCCTGTTTTTATTTCTGATCGAAAAGTGCAGAAACAAATTTGTACTGCCGCGTTTAGAATTGGTTCCGATCTCTTTGTCTTGTCCATCACGCGACAGGCTTGAGCTACTACCGTAGAGTAACTAACCTTCGCCGCGTGACAGAGCCCCATTTAAGCTTTCGTGTCTGACAACTGTGGATCTAGCATCTAAATCCCGTTCACGATGTAGACTCCCTCGGCCTGTACTGTATCTCTAGGAAATGTAGATGGACGGTTAGAGATGGGCGGGTATGTTCGGACAGTTCAACCTGCTGCAGCTCCCACTTCTCGTGGCAGTTGCAAGCATCTACTCATTTTTGGCCACCATCATGGCAACACATCTCCTGTCATCTGCCTGTCAACACTATCCTTTTAACAGTCTCCAGACTACAGTGACATATCTACTCCATCATATCTCCTATAAATATACCATATTCGGCGTATGCAACAGCCTCCTGCTGACTGCCAACGGGAGAAACCACCGACCCAACAATGTGCATAGCAATCGTCAGCACCCTACATCCCGACTATCCCCTAATATTACTCAATAACCGCGATGTATGCCACCATTTCGCCCATTGCCCAGCTTCCCAGTTTAAAAGAAGAATGTCCCCTAACCCACCTACAGGAGTACCTCCAACGCCCAACCGACCCAGCAAACTGGTGGCCCGCCCCAAACACCCAAATTCTCGGCGGCCGCGATCTCCACCGCGCAGAACACGGCACCTGGCTCGGCGTAACCCGCCAAGGCCGGTTGGCATGTCTAACAAACTTTAAGGAAGAAGAAGAATTCATCACCGGCAAACGATCCCGTGGAGCCGTCGTAAACAGCTATCTGAAAATGGACCCGGAGAGCACAGAGTCCAGTAGGAGTGTGGCGAACGGGTTGATTCAGGAGGGGTTGAACGGGATCGGCGGGTTTAGTTTGTTATTTGGGCATTTGAAGAGGCCGAGCTGGAAAGATAATGGCTTGGCAACGGGCAGTTGGGATGGGCTAGCGATCGTGAGCAATCGTAGTAAGAATGTTGAAGATGTCAGGTGGTTGTGTACGAGACCTGGGGAGACGCATGCGTTGAGTAATACGCATTATGGGGATAAGAGCTGGCCGAAGGTCGTTGCTGGTGAGGCGATGGCAAATGATGCGATTGCCGAGTCTGCGAAACGGGGCGAGAACAAGGACCTGCTGCTACAACGATTACTAGCCATTTTGGATCACGATACGTTACCGTTACGGAAAGTGGATGAGGGATGGGTCACGTATACTTCGCAGATGAAGACGAGCATTTTCGTGCCTGCCATAGGCGATAAGAAGCAGAGCGAGAGATTGCTTAATGGGAGTCCTTTGGCGGGTTGTTCAGCAGACATCAAGGCAAACGTGGATCCGGCTACTTCTGGCGTATATGGAACGCAAAAGCAGTCGATATTACTCGTTGACTGGGAGGGAAAGGTGGATTACTTTGA